TCTATGCCCCGCCTCTCTCAAACGCTTCGTTTTCTACAAAGTCCCGCCTTCCGACAAGCACAGTCTGCTCTGATTGGCCAGCTGACCCAGTGCACTGTGATTGGCCGAGAAAACTTGAAATCGCATCATATGACCCCTTTAAATTAAATTCTGGCCACAACTGGTAGCTGTGCCACAGATTCTAACAGGAAGGGTCTGATTTTTCTGATGTTGTAAACTGTGAACCTACACGACTGGGCCATTATTGAGATTTAGTCCTTGTAAAAACTTTCCAATGTAACAACTAGCCCCGAACTCCCCCTATTTAAAAGTGTAATCTGATATAGATATATACATTTACTAATATTGATTAGAACACTGCTTAGCAATATTAATAGATTAATATGTGCTGTGATGTTATGAGAGAGATTGGGGCAATATATTGCACATACATAGCAGAGAGCATGAGTAATAATCTTAACAGAACATTAGCTTGTCCTAAGCTTGTTTACCTGTGCCTCATTGGGGCCTGAAAGTGTCAACAGAGTAGGCATATTTTAACAATATAGATACTGTCAGAAACAGGCGAGTGCCACCAATATAATGCTTCCTCAGTGAGGTTGACCCCATTATCCTGGACCACCCAGCTGGTAGAGCTGTTAGCTGGTAACAGCACACTGGCATGCCAAAAAAAAAAAAAAGCTGCAAATTTCACACTGCTCATGCTCATGGACTGATCAGACTTAGATCTGAGTTAAGAGAGAAGGTTTAATAGTAAGTGTTGTGGTGCATCTTAAGGAAATCAGGATCTTGACAATGCTTTGACCAGCTGAAATAAAAGTTGGAAGATGAATGCTATCTATTACCTGTCTATTTCAATGGCAGTTAAAAATGTGGGCGCTAAAAATTTCACTAATCACTGTGCTCAAGAAAAATTTACAAGCTCTTCCAAACAAAAAAACGTTTGCAAAGATTTTTTTCATGTCATGCATTGACATTCAGGCTAATTTGGATTGTCTGCCAATGGAGAAAGTTGCTTCTTGAGTAAGATGGTGTAGTTCTGATATCAGCAAGGGGCCATGATAGTGAGTGCTGTCTTAAAGAGGTCCGAGTAGGTACCTAGTTAGAGTAAGTAATTACTTTGCGACTTTTAAAAAAGTGTGCTTTATATAGTATGAATGTGTGGGGTATAAATATAATCTGGTTGTACCACATGTGTCATGTTTTCAGTGTCATGTGACCTAGTCAGTTGGGTCACTTCACTGCCTTTCACAAATCCTCTGCCAGGGCCTCATGAGAGAGTAAAGTGTCCATCAAATGCGCACTTCAGAATCTCACTGGAAAAATTAAGTCATTTTCATAAGTACTTTTCACCTGCTGTTTAAAAAATACTGTGAATTCGGACATACTACTCTTTTCACTTACTGTTTTTCGCCTACTGTATGGTAGGAAATTATGCGATTTCCAATACCCACATTTGCGGTCTTTGCCACTTGAGAGTGCATGTGCATCACAGGTAAGTGTGCAAGACTGTCCAAGGTAAGAATAATGCCAAAGCTCAGTGACCTAAACGCACACTAAATCCACATTATTAAGTAAGAGTGGAATTTCAGACTAAGCGTATCCCATCATTCATCATGCTCAGGAACTCACATCTCCTGATATCTTAAGATTCCAAGGAAAACTTTCCAGTAAGTTAAATTAATTAGATATTACATATCATTTGGTAGTAAAACAGTGTTGTGCATTGTAGTGGTGCAGAGATGAGTATGTGCACTTTGTACAACATTTGCAACTGTTTTATCACAAGTTTATATTAAAGTGCAAAGTATTGAGAATCAAAAAGTGTAAAAGTCCTGTAAAAAGTTTACTTGCATCTTTACAACACTATGTTGTGTCTCACACCAGGTAATCCAACGTTTTCCACACACTTGCAGTCTTCATGCCCAATTAAACATCTGGGCCAAATACAGAAAATACGACAAGTGGTCAAGTGCAAAGACCGCAAGTGACAGGGACAGGCTCTTGACTCCTTGGTGTCATTACAAACTTGTTCTGAGTGTATCCCTTCAGCTTCGTGCCAGTGCCTTCTAGATGTCACAAACCATAATACTTATAGAAGCTTTTATATTTTAGTTCAATAACGAGTCTTAAAGGGGTCATATGATGCGATTTCAAGTTTTTCTTTCTCTTTGGAGTGTTACAAGCTCTTGGTGCATAAAGAAGATCTGTAAAGTTGCAAAGACTAAAGTCTCAAATCCAAAGAGATATTCTTTATAAAAGTTAAGAGTCAGCCACACCTACCTAAAATGGCTCATTCTAACACGCCCCCACATATCTACATCACTATGTGGAAATATTAGCATAACGCCGCCCAAATGT